TTTATCTCCGCGGGCAGAAGGCGGTGTTTGGCGAGAGACCAAATGGTCGACGTGAAAATGGTGGGGCCACGAGCAACAAGCTTTAATGTCCATAATTTGGTAGGTTCTTGCCAGTGGGAAAAGCTGTACGGGGGTTGTTCCATTATTTTGGGGAGAACACAGACACATGAGAAACCTCGGAGAACTGGGGAGAAACTGAAAAGAATATAGGAGAAATATGAGCTAAAACTTCACTACCACTTGTTGATTGGTTTGTGGTGTGCTGAAAAATTGGCCCCCACATTCTTCAAATACGGAGTCTGCATCATTTTTTTTAGCATCCTCCAAACTTTTTGGAGGCAAATGAGCATATGATGATTCTTTATGTGTAGGTTTTTGCCCCTCTAGCCTCCATATTGGTGATTAGTATAGAGGGAGGAAGACACGCAAAATAAGCTAGAGTTTCTCTGACCTAACTTGTAAGGTGTTGGCTTAAAACCAATAGCAATTTGGGAAGACAAAAATGTCATTGTTGCGGCTAGCAACAAGCTAGTACAACTTACATTTGTTTATATGGACCAACCAATGTGTAGAGGTGAACGCAACAGATAGGGTTGTCGTAATTTATCTTTGTTATTTTATTTTATACCTATATATGTACTATTTTATATATGATGCCGCCATTTGGTAAGAGTGAAACCATATGTTAGATAACGATGGTGTCATTGATTACGTGATGGTATTATATCACTTGGAGTAGGTGTAGTCCATGGTTTGACCACCAAGTCAAATGAAGGCTGGCTGCTTAAGCGTTTAATATGGGATACAATTAGCTAATTATCGGACCAAGCTAAGATCATTCGGTCACTCATTTCAGGGCATTGTCAGCAACTGCCGGTTCTTTTCTTTTTCTCCTATGACATGCTTGATTCGGTTGCATTGCAATGTTTTCTATAGAAAGACTATAAGTGATGCCTTTAAAGTATAATTGGTGCAACAAGCCCAAATGCAAGTACCTTGCCTTGAACCTGGGTGAGTGGGAAGCCATCAGCCTCTTTCCGCCACCAATAACCTCATATATTATTACCCGAACAGCAAGACTACTATGGGTTATCATTCTTACCGGAAACACCCCAAAACCATATCTCACACAATATCATATCAAACAAAAAAACAGATAACCAAAGAACATCTCCGAGAGAATATCATAACTAACCGATGGAACACGGCAAACAAGCCTTGCCATAGCGGCTCTGTCAAGTGTACCAAGGTTGGACAAGTGGCTACATGTTTGGTAAGAACCTTGTGATTTATGAGTGCCTTAATTATTCCAATGTTGCCGAGTGTGGTGCGTTTGTCGAGTTTATTTTTGTGATGGACCAGGAGTGAGGCCCATTGGTCCCTGTTCGCGTCTAGAACCGGGACCAAAGGGTCCAGACGAACCGGGACCAATGCCCCACGAGGCCCGACCGGCCCTCTGGCCTCACGAACCGGGACCAATGCCCCCATGGGTCTCGGTTCGTGAGTGAGCCGGGATTAATGGGCTTGCCCTCCTTGGACCAAAGCCCTGTTTTCTACTAGTGTTGGCTCTCAACAAAAATAGGGCTATACTCTGTCTCTATTATTTGCTATGTGTTTTTTGTATGGTACTCAACATCTTTGTTGGGTACCCCTGAAAAGCATTGGCAAATAGTTGCACACTAGGCAAAAACAGATTATCATGCAGCGGTCGGTACTTCACATGCCTCGACACATGCTTACATCGCCTCACGAAAGCTTCAAGAGTGGCTAAGTACCATGATCCAATAATACAATCCATTATTGTTTCATAAAAACATCTGTGGGACGATGAAACACTTGTGAAATATCAACTTAATCTTGATATTTCAAAGAACTTACCAAATTGCTGCCACCCCATATGTCATGGAAACTTTCTGATCACCCCTATGTATAGTGTAGCCATCCTCAAATCTCCCCCAACAAACCCAGGGAGGAATTCTAGTGTAAAGTTTCACTCAAAACCAGCCAAACAAGAAATGATCAACATATGCAAATTGACCACTACAGGGACATATGCTATCAGTGGAGCCACCACGAGTAAGAATCTGCTCCCTGGTTGATAACTTAGAATAAATGTTCTACTATAAGATAGTGGCGGCTATTAGACGCATTATAACATATAACATAGGGGCGGCTATTAGCCGCCTATATATAGCATATAACATGGTGGCCCCCTTGTTAGCAACCCTTAGAACACATGGTCTATAATATATAATATAGCGGCGGCTATTAGCCGATTTACAACATATAGTGACTCTTGATGGTAACCCTCAGAACAAATGTTTTATATTGTATTGCATAGGGGTGGCTATTATCACCAGCCTTATAACATATAATATAGTGATGGCTAATTAGTGAAGCTCGGACAAGGATCAAACACACGTTTTTCTACTAACTCACAAGGCAATGCATCATTGACTGGAATGTATTTAAAAATTTCCATGGTCTACTTTATGGTTGAGAACAGAAAGCCAGCTTCTGATTGGTAATGGATGGGTGTCGTCCTGTTTGTGTTGCAAAATACTCTTTGACTGATTATTAATTATGCATGTACTTACAAACTTAAATCTAGTTTGGAGCTTGATTTAAAATGGCGAATAAGCTATCTAACTACTAGCCAATATGTTACTCACTCTGGCCGCCCAACTGAAAGAAAGTGTAGATCAAAGTTTAATAGTTTTTTGTTACACTTTTTACTAGAGGTGTGGGACAAGTTAGAACCATGTGCACTATGCAGTAACTTCAAAACTCCATCTCCATCTCCAGATGGTATTTTCCCCCGACAATATTAGAGAGTTACTTTGTGTGCCCTTCTTTATATACTACTCCCTCTGTTCCTTGATATAAGGTGTATAGATTTTTGAGAAAAATTCCGAAATATAAGGTGTATTGCGCTGCACCACTCGTTTGGATAATTTTTTGAGGGATTTGTTTACATTTCCTTATATCACACAAACTCCTCTATTTTCTCATGTCAATTAGTCATGTGTAATGTCGCCCAAAGCTTGTGAAATTTTCCCTCCATGTGTGTTCTTTAATTTCCGTGCCAAAAACTATACACCCTATATTTAGGAATGGAGGGAGTAAAAGATAGAAGAAAAAGAATATGGTGATCTCTCGCTCTAAAGGCTACATGGCAGGGGCACTAAGCAAAAGGAAAAGACATGCACTCCCTCACCGGAAATAAATACACAAAAAACTACCAAGAAAATCCCCCATCCGTAGGACATCCAACAAAAAACATAGGTAACAAAAGAAAACATCCAATAGAAGATCAGCGTCATCGCCATCAGTGGCACTGAAGAGCCCTAGATGTAGTACACTGAACCCGCACGACACATTTCATGTAGGCGGAGAGGTTGCCTGGCCCTCTCGCAGAGGCACGAGTGTGCCACCATAGATATGTTGTAAAGAGATCCACCCACAGCCTCACCCCTGATCCCTACTCCACATGTCGCATCATCGCTCATTGAGTGGAGCTGGTAATGCAAGAATCAAGGTGAGCAAGAAAGTATATTGTCTGCTATATAGTGATAAACTTTCTTAGACCTTTTGTCATAGAGGTACTTGTAAATATTACAGAGATAATTCTTTACATTGTCAATGCCACTCGGAATAAATATTGAAAACAGTTTGATAGTGCAACTTTTCCAATGAGAGCCTTATTCTAATTACAATAATGTATAGAGATACAGGGCAACACAGACATCATGATTAAGTAAAGGTGTCGTTATATGCACAGGCATTGCCATGTCTATATCGAAATAGCATTGGAACGTTTATATGGAATGGCTATCAACTACAGGTCAAATTATCTCCTTACACTGACCCCAAATTTCTCAGACATGTCCACTGATTCTGCACTTGCCCCTCTAGGAAGCACCCAGTCAAAGTGGTAGAGTAGGTTTGCCAAGCCAATCTCCACGGTCGACATGGAAAACAATATCCCAGGGCACTGCCTTCGCCCTCCCCCGGAAGGAATGAATTCAAAATGTGTCCCATAATATTCGACGTTGTTGTTCTCAAACCTCTCTGGCTTGAACTCTTCGGGGTTGTCCCAATATTTGGGATCCCGAGAAATTGCAAAGACATTAACGAAGATATTAGTTCCTTTAGGCATGTCATAGCCCATGATTTCACAGTCCTCTCTCGTCTCTCTGGGGACGAGCAGCGGAGCCGGAGGATGCAACCTTAACACCTCCTTGATGACCATCTACATGTATCAGAGCTCATTGAGGTCGGTAATTTTGATGACATGTCGACCTTGGCCTAGCACTTCCCGGACTTCTTGTTGTGCTTTAACCATTGCTTCAGGGTTGTTCAATAGCTCTGACATAGCCCACTCCACTGCAGTTCATGTGGTCTCAGTGGCAGCTCCAAATATGTCCTGCAAACAACGATTGGTATGTATGATTTATATTGCAAAGACACAAATATTAAGTTGAAACAAAATATGTCCTACGAGACGAAACAATGTGTACGTGTAAATGCAAACATAAATCATTTCACATAACTACCAGTAGTACAAATCTATTCGGGGTATATTTGGATTCTCTGTGCCTAGAATCTGATGATGCATATGATGTATAGTACATAAAATTGTATATTGCTCCATGGGATGACATGGTCCATCTACTCTATATCATTTATGTCGTTATATTAGTTGGGCCCATGTGTTGAAAAATTATTCAAGTCAACATCAAAATTTCACAAAATCCCCAACAGATAAAATTATTGTAGATTCGTGAGAAAAAAATACTCACGAAAATGACAACTCCAATAATCTCTGTGGTTAGAGGAAAGGTCAAAGAGTCCTCTTCCTGCAGCCTGAGTAGTACGTCCAGTAGGTCCTCATCGTTGGTGCTGCGGGCATGGCCACCGGCAGCTCGCGCATCCTTGCGCCCCTCGATGATCTCCGTGATGATGTGCTGGATACGGCCATAGCTCCTCCTCATAAGGCGCTAACCATTGCTAAGCAACCGTACTAGCCGCGATGACGGGAAAAGGTCCACGAGGCAGAAGCTGCCCATAAGCTCATGGAGGTACTCATCCCGCCGTGTGAAATTGCCGCCAAAAACTACCCGCGTCACGACATCGCTGCTGAGTCTTGCCATCTTCACGCTGACATTCACGGTAGCACCGACGGTGGCCATGGAATGGAGGAGGTTACCTATCTCGTTGGCCTTGATGCCCTCCATACGCCTCACCTGCTTGGAACTGAGGAGCTCCACGATGCAGATCTTGCGCATCTGGCGCCAGCGATCCCCGTAGGGGCTGAAGATGATGCCCATACCGCCACAGCTGATGATATCCTGCAAAGGATTGCGGGGCCGGCTTGCGAAATCGAGGTCATTGGTCTTCATCACCAGTGCTGCTGCCTCGGCGCTGGAGACGATAACCGTTGGGACCTCACCTGGTTGGAGGTGCATCAGCGGCCCATGCTGGCCAGACATCTTCATCATCCTGCGGTGTGGGAGGTCACCGACGAGGTGGTGGAGGCTTCCAATGATGGGGAGTGACCACGGCCCGGGAGATAGTTGTTTCTTCTTGGGATTTCTCTTGTCGCCAAAGAAATACAAGGTTAACCAGCCCTCCATCTCCATGGCCAGCAGCTTGGAAGTGCAGTGATAAGATAACCAATCTGTTGGCTGCTTGTTGCTTGGAGAGATGTAGAATATATATAGACCACTTCACCCGCAAAAAAAGAATATACTTAGAAAAAATAATTACTGGACATTTTCGAAGGCCTATTTACGGTGGCACTTCATGTGTAAAATCTAGTCCCACAAGAAGATTGGAAGGGAATTGAGACATATGACCAAGATATAAGGGATTATCTCTAACAACTCCTAGAACATATGAGACCATTGAACAACACGTGCGAGTGCTCACTAACCTCACCACGGCATGCCGAAGAGCGTGCACTTTAGTCGGAGCCTGGGCTATTATTGACTCGTACGGCTGTCACCCATCAGAATACATACTCACGTGTTCAAAAAAAAAGAAAGAACACATACTCCCTCCATCCAAATATATAGCAAAAAATATTTTCTTTTTTAGATTGCATTTGATATTGATAAAATTATCAATATACGAGATGTACGCTATAAAATTTATATCATTAGAACCTACTTTCACATATGAATTTGACGGTATGCTTTGTGTAACATGCATTTCATATTTTTGCTCTAACCAGTGGTCAAAGATAACCTTGAAAAACGTATTAGGCCCTATATATTTGAACAGCGGGAGTATGTCTGCTCTCACATGCACCATTATCATCATTTCATTTTTCTTATTGTATATAATTACCGCAGAAGGCATCCTCATCGTGGACAGAGAGAGCCGCAATGATTATTGCTGCAGCTCGTTTGTCTCATCAATGGGGACAGGGATGCTGTCAAGGACGGGGACACCTTCCGGAGATACATCATCATCCTTGGTGTCACATTCGTATGAGTGGCCAACAATGATACATAGTCCACATGCGCATGGCAAGGATGCCTTGTCGCCCTGCGCCACCTGCGGGAGCTTGTTCCCCCCCTACAAGGAGGTTGAGCTAGTATAAGGCATTGTAACGCAACAACATTGCAGGAAAGGGAGGAACAAGGGATGCGACGGATGGAAAGGGGTGTTGGAACCGGATCTGGTGAGAGGGGGCAAGGGATTGGCTGGTGTGCCCTTACCTATGTCACTAATGGGCATTTCTAGCATGGGCAGAGGGCGGTGCATGTTGGGAAACGGGAAGGATGAGATGAAAATGGTGGGGCCGTGAGTGACATGCCATTAATGTGGTAGCTTCTTACCGGTGGGAAATGGTGTGAGGGGCTTTAGGGCATCTCCAACAGGTTGTATGTTAGTCTTGTTGGTAAAATGCCCATGTCATCAATCAACAAGCTATCATACAACTGCTCCAATAGGTTGTATGTAAGCTATCCAATAGATGGTGAGAAAATAAATGTGATTACTCTCTATTTCACGTTGGAGCTTGTGCAACGGTTGTTAGTTAATCTACATATAACTTTGCTCTCTCCACATTTATTACATGTCACATCATCACTATGTCCTAGGTGGAAAATTAACCAACACCTATCTTACAACTGTTGAAGATGCCCTTATACCATAAAATGGGGAAAACACGAACACAACAGAAACCTCAGAGGACTGGGGAGAAATTGAAGAGGATATTGAAGAAAGATGTGGCTAAAACTACACTCCCACGCGTTGGTTGGATTGGGCGTGCTGCAAAATAGGCCCCTGCATTCTTCAAGTAAGGAGTCTACACCCCATCTTTTGGAGGAGCGTCCTCCAAAAATTATGGAGGCAAATGAGCTTATGATAGTTCTATTGGTATAGGTTTTGTCCCTCTAGCCTTCATATTGGCAATTATTATAGAGGGACAAAGATATGCAAAATCAGCTAGAGTTGCTCTAGCCTAACATGCCAGGTGTTGGCTTAAAAGCAATAGCAATTTGAGAAGGCAAAAATGTCACAGTTGCAGCTAGCGAGGAGCTAGTACAGCTTCCTCTTGTTTATGTAGACCAACCAATGTGTAGAGGCGGACGCAAAAGATAAGGCAGTCTTAATTTGTCTTTGTTATTTTTTATTTTTTATATTTTATTCGATGGCAACTTTTGGTTACAGTGAACCATACGTTCAGTAATGATGATCTCATTGATTACGTGATGGTATAATATCATGTGGAGTAGGTGTACGTTCATGGATTGACCACCACCTAAAATGAAGGCCGGCTGCTTAAGACTAGCCACAATGGTGAATAACATACACTAGTAACATACACATATCTCTAGACTATATTACTACCTTCATACTTCCTCCGTTCCTAAATATGTCTTTAGAGATACCAATAAAAGACTACATACGGAGCAAAATGAGTAAATCTAGACTCTAAACTACGTTTATATACATCCGTATGTAGTCTATAGTGAAATCTCTATAAAGACTTATATTTAAGAACGGAGGGAGTAGTGGGTAGTAACATAAGTGTGATAACATGCAAATCTTCATTTATTAGGTTATAGACTCATATTGTATTGGGACATGTGATGTTACAGTAACTAGCTAAGTTACTATAACTACCTCTCTCCTCATTAACTCATTGCCACATAAGCAAATTTATTGAGTTGGACTCAATGTTACTGCTGAAGTTACTCTCATTATGGCTAGTCTAAGTGTTTAAATGGAATATAATTTTTTAATTACGGGCCCAAGCTAAGTTCACAGGTCACTAATTACTGTTTAGTAGCTCCAGACAATTTAAATAGATGGTGATAAAGCCGTTGGTACGTTAGTGTTCTTTATCCAGTTGTAGCTTTGTGAAAATAACTTCATGTGGTGGAATTCAACTTTGAAACCTTCATAGATCACTAAATATGCTTGAAGATTTAACCAAGCAGGGTGCTATCTGACTATCTCCATGCCTCCATGGTGGCACTTCCTGTTGTCTTCCCATTGTCACCAACCGCCGGTTCTTTTCTTTTTCCCATGTGACATGCTTGATACGGGTGCATTGCTATCATCATGAAGTATTGTAGGATCAATAAGAGCAACTCCAATGTGGCGACCCAAACGGACGCATGCTTTGTCCGTTTTTCATCCGTTTTGGTCGGCCAGGCGGACGTATGTGCCCCGTTTTTCATTTGGGTCGACAGCGGCGCCTAACGGGAGGCCGACCCATTTATGACAACGTGGCAGAAACTTAGGCATAATCATAATCAAACATAAAATGGCAATTCAACGCCAGCCAAAGTCCACTTAAACATAAATTAAAATTTTAGAACTCTTAATAAATAAACGCCCGCCTGCATGCTTCCCTAGACCGCCTTGCCCTAGCCCTTGCGGTCATCGTCCTCACCGCTGGTGAGGTCAAATGAAGACGGGGGGAGGCCCAGCCCAACCGAACGTGGCTTGATAGGCCGCTAGGGCAGCCTCATCGGCGTAAAACTACGTTGCAAAAAACCGTAAAACTACGTTGCAAAAAAGTGAAAAAACATAGAGAAAAAAGTCGCTAGTTGCAGCTACAATAATGGCAGGCCCCAGTAGCGCTTTGCAGAGGCGAGAAAGGGCTCCGTCTCGCAAGGGCGAGAAATAGCTCCCGCAAAGATGACGTAATTCAGATGTGCACTAATTATTATATAGGAGTATATGAGAACTTGAGGGGCATAAATATGGTATTGTGCAAGTATTAATTATGGTCTTAGTTGTATTACTTTGTTCCTCTCAGTTTAAAAATTGTCGCGGGCAAATGTACAGAGATCATTCAGAAGAATGATGCATGATTCACAAGCATGACACCAGTTTAGAAGAATTATGGTCTTAGTTAGGCCGTCAAACCAAGTAGTAGGGGCGGGTCTAGGATTTGAAGAGTGTGTATTCAAAAAATTAAAGCCTATTTTTCTTTACAACTTCTAGCCTTGTTTCTTATGCATAATTTGATTAAACCATCATATTGTACTAAGGCCCTGTTCGGTTCATAGGAAGCAGAAAGTCCAGAGGAACACTGTTCCCACAGTAAACTTTTCCTTCGCAGCGTTCATATTGAAGGAATCGTTGCTAGGCCATCCTCTGGAAAGTGTCCTCCACCCTCTATTTTCAAAGGAAAAATAACATCTTCCTGGAGCTCTTGTTTTTTCACAGGCCCGAGGCGCCAGGAACAAAAAGGCTGCTTCAACCTCTACCTGGGACCAACATCATGGTCAGAATTTGTGATTTGTGCAAGCCGGAAGCACCGGGCTGTACTTTTTTTCACATATAAAAATCGTTAGCCGGGGCCAACATGTGTTGATTTCTCCTGCTAATTTCCCTACGGAACATCGATTCTTTTCTTATTCCTCTGTTCCGGGGAACCGCAGGACTGAAGTGTGCAACCAAAGCTATTCCTGTGCGGTGTTATATTCCTTTGTTTTACTAACCTGCATACTGAACGGGGCCTAACTATATAATATCTAATACATAATTGAGCAGAATATCATATTCTGATATAAATGATCATAAATTGTTCCACATAAAAATCACTACTTGTTTAATATATAGAAGTGCCATTTGTCTAACATATCAAAATGGCAATACATGAGTACTATTTTTTCATAACTAATGCTCATTTGTCACAAATTCACAAACATTCGCACATTGCAAATTCACATCGCTAATACTACCTTTGTTCAAAATTAGTTGTCACTGAAATGGATATATATATCCTGTGATGGGTGCGCGCGATCAGAATTTGGGGGATAGGACGTGCTAGTTCGTGTGATGATCGAACTAACTGAGTCTCGTGTGATCATGGTTGCAGTAATTTCTATACCGGACTAGATTGGGATAAGGATATTGGGCTACTGGTCCATGTTGGGTGGGAAGGGAGACAAGGTGGGCTATGCCTTGTGTTTGGTCTAAATGCTTGGATACCCTCATATCACGCGTAAATATTTGTTTTCCCCCACACAATATGCAGTATACATTGTATATACATAGATGTTTGGCCAAAAATAATGCGCATTAAACTAAATACCCATGAAATGATGTGGGTCGCCCCTGCCAAGTAGGGTTGTTAGCGCAGTTCAAATACCAAATCATGTACTATATC